TTGGCTTTGTATCTTATTTATTTAGCTTAATATAAATTTTTAAAAAGTGTCCACAATACACTGGTAGCCCCCTGTATGTTTGATATCTTTTTACTCTATATATTTATAATGTCTATAGCTGCTAAAACATGGTTGTTCACTTTTTTTAGTGCTAAAGATAGTGCCACTATCAGAAAAGCATTAAGGATAATCAGTAGAAAGTTTGTTACCCACTTTTTGGAGAATGTGAAATAAGATGCAATAATGGAGATTAGTTTGAGATTTGGGTTAGGTGCTGAGAATCTTGATTATTAAATTTGATTAGATAATCATCAAGAAAATTAATTTTTACTGTATTTACTCAAAATAACATACAGGGTGTAATTTCAAATTTTGGCTTGAATTAAGCTTAATTTGAGCCAATTTTGAAATTATACCCCTGCACATTATTTTGTGTAAATACAGTATAATCTCAGTGCCTAGTACATACATATTAATTTTTGAATTATTTGTATATTAGCTTTAAAGTTTAATTTAATTCAGAAGAATTTGTTGTATATAAAGAATCATTATAAATGTTTATATGGCATAGTAACAAATAAAATAGGAGCCTATAAACTAAAAGTTGACTAGCTCTTAAAGCATCAGAATCTTCGAAATTGTTGGGCTGATAGTAATCACCATACAGTATATGTGGAAATGAAAAAGTGTTGTGGCTTGTTGAGAGGAATACAATATTTATTGATCCAGAAAGTATTAGCCAATATACTAATATTTAGTTGTATGATTTACATATACCATGTGATCGTACTGGTACGTATAAAATTTTTCGTAACACCATGCATAACATGCATAAGTACTATGACCGATCATATTGATATGGCTCATTTTAATTTATATAAGTTAATATGAACCTAGATCATAAAATCACCAGATTACTACATCCAATCAACATTAAGATTTTATGAACGAACACGTTCCTGGTACGTAGGAGGAAACGTTGATGCTACACAACTGATTTTACACACGGTGTGAAACACAAAAAAATTATTTTACAATACTTGATCGGACTTGATCAGTCAGCTAGTACATGTTATGATTATAATCCCATTTTTTTATAATAAAAAATGGTGTGGGATTATAATCATAACATGTACTAGCTGACTGATCAAGTCCGATCAAGTATTGTAAAATAAATTTTTTATGTGTTTCACACCGTGAGTAAAATCAGTTGTGTAACATCAACGTTTCCTCCTGTTGGTTAAATATCTAAAATTATAGAGATAATTTTATATTTTTATTGATTGCTTCATCAAAACCAAAATTTCAGTAGTAATTTTTTAGCGAGAGAAGTAGGTATTCACTATTATCATAAAGTTTCATCAATCCAATTTTTTTTTTTTTTTTTTAGAGAGAGCTCAAGGGTTTTTTTTTAGCGGGAGCACTAGGGTTTCGTCATTTTGAATTTGGGTTTCGTATTTTGTCAGCAGAATTTGAGGTTTCGTCTATCGTCGGGGGTTTCATCATTTTAGGGCTTAGGTTTTGTCTTTCGTCACCAAGCAAAAAAGGTTTCGTCTAACAACTATAGTGTTGGCTCGTTTCGCGGAGAGCGAAAGATCAATAAATGACTTTTTTTAAAAAAAGTGCAATATCTCATAATTTCACTGGTAAAGCTGCTCTGCATGTCTTAACAAAAAAGATTCCTTACAAAATTTACTTCATATGCAGTTAGTTTGTTCATATTATATTGATTACTATTGTAAATTTTATGGTTTAATCATTAATCCACATGTTTGTATTTGTTATCGCATTGGCACATGATTTACGTATCATTACCCGTGCCAAATCCCACACCGATTAGGCTGCAAAACCCGAGCCATTTACGGCCAGTTGGTACTGGCATACGGTCTCATACAGTACACCAAATCCGTACCTATCCGAAACCAACCCATGCCGATCAAGTACATTTTTCTTATAGGGCAGCGTTTGTTTCTCCTTTAAAGAATAAAGGTTTCTAATACTGTTGCTCCTCCCAAAACTGATCCTATCAAAATTGATAACCTTTCAAATCTGATAAAAAATTAATTACCAGTCCATTTCGTTATATAAATCTAATAGCTTATAATGTTTTCAAATCTCAATAATGATACTATATCTGTCCACCATGCATGTCGGTTTGATAGGTCAACAGTATTTGATCAAGGATTTGCGATATATCATTTCATGTTTAGAAATTGATAATGAAAAAGTTATTGAAATTAATAATATGAGATACGTAATTCCGATTTCAATTTTATTAAGGAATGACCTAAGTCATTTCTAAATTAAGAATGACGTAGGTCAATCAAAATTGACCTAAATAACATTTAAAGACGCATTTATGTACATCTGTTCGATCACAAGAATAATGCAAACTCTTAAAATTATTTCGCACAATTTCCCGGCTTCTTTAGAGCGTAGAGCGCCAGGAAAAGATGGTCATCTCCGTATTGCTGCAAATTCTTATGTGACAGCAAGCATTTGCACAAAAAACGATAGTAAAATATCTCTTATATTTGCACATGCTACCGGGTTCCATAAAGAATTATGGAATCCTATCATAAAAATTTTGCATGAACGAAGACATCGATGGAACGGTGGTGATATGTGGGCTTTGGATTGTTCGAATCATGGAGATAGTGCAATGTTAAATCAAGATGTTTTGCCTGATAAGTGTAAGTTCGCTTAGCTTTGTTATTTATTTAGTGATTTATTTGTATTGAGATTTAATTGGATCATTCAACCTAGTTGTGTGTTCCGACTATTCTCGAGATATCCTTCAGCTTATCGATAAGGCGAAAATTCAAAAACCAATTATTGGTATAGGCCATTCAATCGGTGGAACCTCTATGTGAGTGGTTTTTCTATTGTATTTTATTGATTTTGCAATAGTTGACATACTTTTATTGCTGGTTTAAAAATTGTAAATAATGTGATAATTTTAGGTTAAAGGCAGAAACTATTCGTCCTGGCACTTTTGCTAGTATTTTGACCCTTGAGCCTATAGTAAAGCCTATTATAGTCCGAGAATTTGAAATTCAAGAAACAAAAGTTAAAAATAGAAGAGAAAGATGGCCAGACAGGTGAGAATGCTTACTAAATTTTAAAATACATATAAATGCTAAATTATATATGTTTTTTTATTGATTTTTTTATATTCAACATTTTTTCATAAATTAATAGAAAATCAGCGCATATTAGTTTTAATACAAACGAATTTTTCAAAAGCTGGAACCCTGAAATACTTAATCTCTATGTTGTAAATAAAAATCATTCATATATATATATATATTCATTTTTAATTTAAAACTCAATTGATGATTTATAAACAATCTAGCAATATGGATTATATGAATTGCCATCTGGAGAAGTTGCATTAAAATGTTCTAAAATTCAAGAGTTGGTAAGTTCTTTTTTTTTCGTTTAGTATAGCTCAAGACTTATTTAAATTTATTTATGACATTAGTATACATTTTTTTACGATACGACGGAACAAGTCTCCACATTTCATCAAATGTCAAAAATTAAATGCCCCATTCTATTTGTTATTGGTGATAAATCAACTTTAGAGTAAGCATTGTCAAAGAATTGCTTTTAGCTAAGGTGAAATAACAGGTAAAAAAGTTTCCAAATTGATGATTGGTAAATAAAGAAACCAGATACTGGAAGTAATTGTGCCAAATCACCAACTAAGATGACATTTATACCTCCGAATGGATTATTGTTTTTGTGTAGAAATTCAAAAAGTTTGGAGATGTATATTAGGAGTTGGCCTGATATCATGGAGGCTTCATCGATAATAAGAGTATCGATTTGAAGAAGAAAATTATTTAATTCATCATTATGAAATGCAAGTGTGTGAAATCCTTGTTTATTGGAGATAATTTGTAATGCAGAATGAATAGTTGAACTACCAATGTTTTGGGCAGCAATTCTGGTTGGAGTCATTAATAAGTAGTTTCTGCTTATTTTTTTGAAATCTTCTATTAATAAATGTATCATGTAGGATTTACCAGTACCTGCTGGGCCTGTAATAAAAAAAAAAGGAATAATGAGAACTGTCTCATGGTCTCAAGTAATTAGCTATTGTTTGTCGACAATAGTATTGAGTTGATGGTAGATTAATTGTTGGGTTAATTATTGAAATTTGTAGTAATATTTTTATAGAATCTAATTGTAATTTTATTATATCTATGATGTTTTTTGTTAGAATTGATTCTAAAGATAATGTTATTGTTTCAATAAGAGAGTTGAATTGATTTAGTGCATGTGTTGTTTGTTTTAATATGAATTTGCGATTTTGTGTAAGTATTGATTGGATATGTTTGAGAATTGAGATAAAAAGTGATCTCTGTAAGTTTGGTAATTACTCAATATTTCATTTTCAGATCGGCATGGAAATTTTAGTAGAAGTTGTTGATAAAAGTATAATTCTCCATGCTCTATTCGTAGGGATTGCAAACGGGTGAGAATATGATTTGTACATTTAACAACAAAATTCCCAAGATTATCTTGATAAATTGTTTGAAGAGAGTGGGTTGAACAAGCTGATTTGATATCATATATTTCAAAGTAAGTTTTATATGTCATATTATCAAATATGGAATTGTGTGGTTTAGCAAAATATTTTTCTATTTTATCAGTCCAATAGAGATTATCATCAAGTGAATCGATCATGTATAGTGGGATAACTACCTTGGAACGTATATTTGGAGGATCTGTTGTTAAGTATTGTACTTGTACTGATGAGTTTACAATATGTTCTTCAAGTAACAAAAACATGAGTTCCATTGAACCCATTCGTTGTGCATGAATAAACTCTCGATAGTGTGATTGTTCTTGTATATTGAAAAGGTGAGTTGGTTCTGATTTGTTAATATATTTTGTTATATAATGGGCAAGTCCTTTATTTGTGATATATTGGATGTTCATGTGAGCATTCCATAACATGAGTGTAGGAGCATGATATGGAATTATCCACTGGTCTTCTGGTGTTAGACATCGATAGGTATACCTGTAATTATTTGGATCATAAAATATATATTCAGAAAGTGGACGTGTAAATCCTCTTTTACATATCAACCCTGGTGGTGCTGGTCCTCCATATATAAAGTTACAAGTATGTGTTTGAAAGGTAAGAACTTTTTGATAAAGTTCAGGTTCTAAATTAGAATCTGGAAGGGTGGATCATATAGTATTTAAATTTATCATTTCTAATATGCTTGTAGTTGTCTAATAGACTCTATAAAGGTATGCTGCTCCATGATTCTGAAATTCTATTCTGTCAAAAAAATAGGAATAAGTTCCCCATTCACTAATTTCTGGGTTTTTTCAAACAGACTTTTTGATATTTTGAAGTCTGTGAACAAAATGAAGGGTTGTATGTAATAGTCTATTTGTTGGTAATGGATCATAGTTGTCTGTATTGATAAGTATATTATGAAGATGACTCTATGAACCTTCAGCCATTGACAATGTTATGAACAATGTTGGGAGACCAAGTTCATAAATCATTGTGTTTAGGTGCTTATTTTTTTTTTGAAAATAACTATCACCTATACGAATGAATGTGGGAATTGGTGTTGTCTTTTCTTTATTATATTGCCAGCCATCTGTATAGGTGTTGCATTCAATGATTTTTATAGTTGTGGGTGGATGGTAAGCTTCATCAATATTTGATTGTTGAATTAATCATTGAGTATTTTGAAAGTTTCTGAATTTTTCTAATTGTAAATATGCCCATGCTGGCCAGTGATAGTGTAAATAAAATTGATAATCTCTAGAAAGTAAATGATGTTTTATATATTTTCCAAAGGTATCATGACGTTGTCATATATTTTCTAGTTGATTTCGCATTTCATAATAATACTCATGGTCATCTATAAATCTGGAAAGAGTAGTGGTTCAAGGTGTGAATTATTTAATGCAATAGGAATTTTGTTTATTTTGTCATTTATTATAAACCCTGCTATTAGGTGATGATAATTTGCATCTTCATTGTGAATTTCAGTAGGAAAATTTTGATGTGGGACTACTATATCACCTTTTTGAAATGGAGGAGTATTTTCATCAATTATGAATGAGTAGCTACAGGTAGTCGAGAATTTGTATTTGAAAATGACAAAAGTATTTGTGAATATTGGTGTATATAGGAATTGTGCTCTTTAAGCCAGTTAATAGCATTAGTTAATGAATTATCAAACCAGAGTGGAATTTCAGTTGGAATAGAAGATGAAGATTCCAGGTATACACCTAATAAGCCTGAATACATGCTCAATGAATGAAAATTTTGAGAATAATTCATTGTGCCTACTAATGTTCTATACTCAGAAAAAGGATTTGCACCAGGTGTTCTACCAAGAGAGCAATGTAAGAAAATAAGCGATAGATATTATGTTTTCCCAATGGTACAGATTCTATTTCTGTTGGTGTTGGTGCAAGATATGGTGGGTAATTACGATTTGGATCTAATTTACATAATTGGCATATTGCAATACGATTTGTTGGTGGTATAGGATTTGTAACTAATGGTGTATAGTTTGCAAGAGGGTATGAAACAGAAGGGTCTTGTTGAATCCAACTTGATTTTTCTGGATACATGAGTTTTGAGCAAATAGAACAGGGAACACATCGGAATTGAGACAAAGTAGTATTTTCGAATTCAGCTATTATTTCTTTCATTTTTGTAGATGCAATCCACGGTGTTATCTCTGTTTGAGGTAGATCGTTAGTTAAATTAACTTGATTAATGAATTGCGAAGTATTATTGTTTGAAGATGATAAATCAATTATTTGTTCATTATATTGTAGATCTTCAATTTCAAGAATTTTATATACATTAAATGACATGTTTTATTTGTTTTTTGAGAGAAGTTAATTATTAAACAATTGTATTATTTATTTCTTATTTGTGTGGTTATAAAATTGATTAAATAATTATAATAAATTATTGTTTGTTATGTTTGGAACTTTTAAACTATTTTATATTGTTTTGCTGTCAATTTAGTATTACAAGAAAAGATTCTTTCAGTAAAGGTTAAATTTCAATACATTAAATGGCATTATTTATCAATTAACATTTTAACATGATATTTATAATATTTATTTTTTCATATTAAAAAATAATGGTAAGTTAATAAAATCTAACAAGTCGATTTTGCTATGTTATTCAAGCAAGTATTGTATACGTAATTCTTACATGATCATTTATTTAAAATTATTCAATTATAGTGATCAACTGATGATAAAATCACATTATAATTATGCTCATTATTTATGTTCGTATGGAATTTTTTTTTCTTTTTTTATTATTATTATTTTAAATAATTTTTAATAAAAAAAATAGTGGTAAGATGTTATGTTAAGTATCATATGTGTAATTCTTACATGATTGCTCAATTATAGGGTGTTTTCAAGCGTCAATTTAGATGTAATTAGCAGGTGCAATGATACTCGAGCAAAATTATATTTACATAAAATTTTTATTGAGAATTCGAATATGTAATTTATGATGTAATTCAAATCTTCTTAAGCATTATCTTCGGTATAATTAATTAATGATCATAATGGTCTCATTTAATAGAATCAATTGAAATAAATATTGTAATTAGTATTTGAACCGTTCTTTTATTATTCGACAAAAATAAAAATAAAAAGTAAAAAAATAAAAAATAAAAAAGTGAAAAATAAAAAAAACAAAATCAACTATTATACAAAAAGCAAATATCGTGAAATATCGAAAATATTCTGGAGAAGCATCAACTTTAGTAACCCATGTTGCTCCGTTTACTGACTTCACCAATTATAATATGTTATTCCAACAACAATATTCCGCCTCTATTTTTTATGAATCCATTAGTTGTAAATAAAGCTGCTGTTGAATACAAAGAGGTGTTATTCGCATAAATATAATAATTTAATATTTTTTTTTTGTGAAAGGCGTCGAATAATTTAGAAACAATTTCTAATGAAAATTCAGCTTCGGATATGGATTCTACCTCTTCTGAAGTATTAAATAGCAAAACATATTGTTTTTTGAGCCTTCTGTTTTTTTTTTATCATTCATAAAAATGTTTAGTGCGAGAACTAAATAATAATTCGTCACTAAATATGATGATTCATGGCAATATTACTTGTGCGGTCTTTTTGAAAACTCAATTGATTGTAAAATTTTCAAGACAGGGATAAAAAAAAGGAGGTTTATTGTAAAAAGTTTGTTATTAATAAAAATGTCATATTTACGTAATAAGCTTTATCAATTTATGTCTGTCATCTTAATGATAAATACACTGGACTAATTTAAATTATTTTCCACTAATTAAATTTTATTTCCTGACGCTTTTTACCCAATTGATTTAAGCGCTTGAGAACACTCATAGTAATAAGCTGATGATAAAAATTCATATTATAATTATGACATTATTTTTTGCACGATATTTATTAATAAGTCTTTATATACAGTTTTTTATTTCTAAAAAAATTCAGATTATACGACAATAGATACAGTAGAATCGTTCTTAATTAGTTAGAAAAATAAATAAAAAGAGGGTAATATAATAATAAAAAATAAATATAATAATAAGAAATAAATATAATAATAAGAATAAATATAATAATATAAAAATAAATATATATATAGATAATCGAAATTTAATATCCTTTTTTTACTTATTTTAAATAATTAAATTAGATAATTAGATAAATTAATTTAGTACATATTTTCTATTGGTAATATAACTAAATAAAAAAAATAGTAAATGCGAATATATACTTTCTATTTTTTTTCAGTGTTATTAACTGAGGAAGTTGTTAGTTGATGTATTTGAATTTTGATTTAAAAATTTATTTGATAGATCAGTAACTTTAGGACGGATAGAATGAAAATTAGGTTTAGAATATGGTTTTGTGGTAGGTGTAGTTTTTTTATGACGAATACTTCCTTTAACTCTAGATACGATGGTTTGAGCAATATTGGTCGATTTATTTTCATCATCTTTATTTTTATCTTTAGTTTCCCAAGTAAGATGAATCGAATCTCTAGAAGATAAAATTGAATTTTGATATTCAGGGAAAGAAATGCTTCGAATGTGAACTATGTTAGCATCGTCGGTTATCATAAGCTCTCCGTTAATGTAAATTACTGAATGTTTTTTTACAGAGGTAATTACATTCATCAAATGTCGAGCATATACAGAATAATAACACATCATCTCGATATTAATATAGTCTTGATCAATAAAATTTCTAGATGAAACCTTTATGGTTATATCTTCTTCATCAATTATTGGCTCTTCTTGAGCCACTGCTGTCATATTGAGCAATATCGGAAAAGCAGGTATGTTATTAGGATCAATGTCATTGAAACGAACAATATCATTTAAGATAATCTATATAATACAATATAATGTTAGTGTTTATAATTATATTATTTATTTTTAAGGGAAAAAGCATTTTTTCATAACTTACTTTTAATATTGGATATTTTTTGTTATCATTATCTATATTTTCAATGATACGAAAATTTCCGGTTACAAGCACTACATCTCCATTCTCAAATTTAGGTAAACTTAATTCTTGAATTGTATTCGTCGGGTAAAATCCAATTAAGATAACATTAAGAGGAGAATTTAAGCTTCGAGATCTTACAATACCCGAAGCTTCAACAATTGTAAGATCTTTATTGGTAAATGATTTACGATAATTCGTTATATAACATAAGACGGTAACTGAGGCAGGCATTTTTTTTTTTTAAAAAAAAAATCGGGTGTATAAAAAAATTTGACATTAAATTAATCAGTATAAGTCTTTAAATATTTTTTATTTAAATTTATTAATTTTTTTTTTTTCAAATAAAAAAATCATGAAATAATTATAAATCAGACATATTAAAAATGCTTATTTTATCAGCAGTTTTTATTATATAATATCTGATGATCGATGTAATATTTTTTACAAATTCTCAAGTAATTTTTCATAAATCAGCAGTTTTCATCACATAATTTCTTAGAATAATTTATAAATCAGCAGTTTTCATCACGTTATTTTCTTAGAATAACAATCAAATTCTTAAACAGGTTAAGTCACACCATTATTTTATGCATTTGAGTTAGTTATCAAATCTTTCGCTATGGTCTTTCGATATGAACTTTGGCGATCTGTGATTACCAATTCATCTGTCCTGTGAAATTTCCGGAAAAAAAAAAAAAAAATTGGTAAAACTTAAAATTGAGTTAATTATTCTTAGCGAAACATGAAAGAAATGGCTGTTTGAAGCTTTTTTAACAACAGCTTACTATTGTGTCGGTATTGTCAAAAATTAACATATAAATATCAATATCAATATCAATTACAATTGCAATTGCAATTGCAATTGCTCTTGCTCTTGCTCTTGCTCTTGTTTTATAAAAATGACGGATGAAGATTCCCTTTCTCGGAAATAAAATTTCCTCTCTCAGAATTACAAGGAAATTCTGAGTGTAAATCCAAATTAAATCTAATCCACATACGATAGAAAGTTGTTACAATCTAACCATATACGATAGAAAGTTGTTACAATCTAACCCATACATGGCAAAATACTGTTACAATGCATGATCATATATGGCAAAATGAAACAAGCTAAATTATAATATCGTTAATAATGCCCGTTGATTGTTTAACGATTATCTATCTGTTTTGACAAAAATGATATCACGTGTTAAAAAGCCAGCTTTTTATT